GTTCTAAAATTTGTCTGTTGGTTCTCTTAGATTTTCTATGTAAATAATCACATAGTCTATAATAATATTTTTTCCTTCTTTTAAAATTCTTTTATATATTCTTTCTTGTCTTACTGCTAAGGCTAGGACTTATGGTATATTGCTGAATAGAAATAGTGATAGAGTGCATACTTATCTTGTTCCTGACTTTAAATGTTTTATTACTAAGTACAGTGCTGTTTACTCTGTTTTTGGTAAATATACTTTATTAGGTTAAGGAAAAATCTTTCTGTACCTAGATCATTAAGAGTTTGTTGTGGTGGTGGTGGTGGTTTTGTGAAGGAGTATTGATTTTTATGTATCTGGTCAAGTGAATCAAATGGTTTCTCTGATTTAATTTGTTCTACTATTATGAATTACATTGAAAGATCTTTCTATTGTAAAATTATGCTTGCATTCCTGAGATAAATCCAATTAAAAATAAATATATACATGTATATATGTACACATGTATGTGTGTGTCTGGATTTCTAAATTTTGGTTTAGTTTAATATTTTTGTTTCGGTAACTTTAAGTGAGGCTGAGCTTTCATTTACTGTTTTGTTTGGTTTTGATGTTAAGGTCACGCTAGCCTCACAGGAGGAGCTATTTGTCCCCTTTCTTTCTCAGAAATAATTTGTATAAGTTTGGGATCATCTATTTCTTATTTTTTTTTGGTAAAAATCACCTGTAAAATCATCTGGGTCTGCTTATTTGTGTGCTGTATTCAGTTTCACTAATCATCATAAGTCTACTCATAGTTGAGTCAGTTTTGGTAAATTACATTTTCCAGGAAACTTCCATTTATCTATTTCCTAATTCATTGGCATAAAATTGTTCATAATATTCTTTTATTTTTAAAATCACTGCTGTGTCTGCTATGTTCCTTTTTTCATTCTTAATATTGTTTGTCTTTTTTGTTGTTGTTGTTAATCTAATTTGTCAAAGGATTTAAATTTTACTTGTAATTTCAGAGAACCAGCTTTTGGTTTCATGAATCCTCTCTTTTGTATTTTGTTTTCTTTCATTGATTTCTGCATTTTCCCCTTCAAATTTTGCTCAGTTTACTCTGCTATTTCTTTATTAACTTCTTGATTAGATGTTGAGCTCCTTATTTTCTAGTCTTCTCTAAGATAACCATTTAAGATAACATATTTTTCCTTAAGGTACTGTTAAAACTGCATACACAAGTTTTGATACATATTTCCAAGACCATTCAGTTTTAAATATTTTCTACTTTCCATTTGTGCCTATCAACTTCCCTTTGCCCCTCCAGACCTGCTCACTGCCTCTTCTCTCCACCCTGCTCTCTGCCGCATAGGCTGCCTGTACAGACTACATCAATGGGCTGCTGTGCCCTCTGCTTCTGGTTGGGTACTGCCAGTGGGGATTCCTGGCAGGAGATAGAAGAGAAGGAGGAGAGTGAGGTCAGGGTATTAATTTCCTTGGTCTCCTCTCTGTGCGATTGCCTCAGGCTGGTTACATCCCTTTACAGAAGGTCACTGCTTCTTGAAAGGTGGCCTGCTCTACAAATAGATTTGCTCTCTTCTGGGATTCCAGTAACTCCGCTCTCTCCTTGTCCCTTTGGACCCAGAGGCTGCGACTGTTCCACAGTGGCTACTCCCAGATCCTCCACTGTCCCTTGATTCCCATATGTCCTACCCACACATTTAAAATTTGTTCCTTTATAAATCATTTTGAGTGACTATCTGTTACCTGTTGGGACCCTGAATGATATACTATTTTAATTTTGTCTTTGGTCCCTGAGTTATTGAGAAGATTGCTTTTAACTTTCCAAGTATATGAGTCCTTTTTAAAGTTATTCTTTTTAAACTAATTTCTAATATAACTGCTTTGTATTTAGAGAATATTTTCTATATTATAATGATTCTTTGACATTTGTTGAGACTTGCTTTGTGGCCAGTTTTTATTTTGTTCCACATGTGCTTGAATAGAATGAGTACTTTCCATATCTTTACTGCTTTTGCCTGAGAGAAGGGGGCGGTATAATTGAATATTTGTCAAATTTCTTCATATACACTTCAGACCATATTATTAGGTGCAAATGGATTTAGAATTATTTTATCTTCCTGGTGATTTGTTCTTTTTGTTATCCTTATTATAGTGACCCTCTTTATCTCTAATGATACGTTTTGCTTTAAAGTCTATTTTGTCGAAATTAATATAGCCACTCGAGCTTTCAATTCCTTAATACCACCTCTGTATATCTTTTTTACTTTTCCCTTCAAATTTTCTTTATCCTTATGTTTGAGATATGTCTTGTGGCAATAGCATATAGTTGGATTTTTTTAAAAACTATATTATCTAATTATCTGTTTTTTAAACAAAAGAAATATTGCCATTTTAATTTACAAAGTATAGTACGTTTACCTAGGGTTCAAGGCATTTGGATTCCAGGCTCTACCCTACTGTTGTGTGATGTTGAACAACTCTCTCAAACTCTCTGAATCTCAGGAGAGTCATGGTAAAATACAAGTGTTGAATCAGATTATCTTGAAGATACCTTCTAGTTAATTTACTCTGTTTTACCTTAAATTATAGTAATATGTTACAAATTGTTTTGACACAAGGAGTCTTAAAACCAGACCTAAAATTAAAAACAAAAGCCTAGTGTAATTTGGAGAAATAGTTCAAATAGTAACTCATGTCTAGCTTTGAGATGTTTACTCTTCGTCATCTAAAACTTTAACTTTCCATTATTCAATGTATAATATTTTTGCAGTTTAATTTCTTTTCTGAGGATAACCCGTGTTTTCTAAAAAACATAATTTTCCATGATTTGGGGGATGTATCTAAACATATTTTCTTGTTATTCTAAAGATCTTTCATATTCTTTAATAATTCAAAAAAGCTTTTCAAGGTTGTATTATTTCCTGCCTCATTTTCTTTCTTTCTTCTTTTTTTTTTTGGTGGCGAAGAGTCACCTTGAGCTAACATCTGTTACCAATCTTCCCCTGCCCACCCCCTTTTTATTATGTGAGCCATTGCCACAGCATGGCCACTCCCAGATGAGCAGTGTGCTTCTGCACCAGGAACTGAACCTGGACCACCGAAGAGGAGCGTGCTGAACTTTAACCACTAGGCCATCAGAGCTGGCCATGCCTCATTTTCTTTTAGCTTATTTTAAAATTTCTACCAGATCTTTTCCAGAGTTGTGGATGCCACAATCTTTACCACTTTTTCACAAGATTAAAATAAACATCACATCACTCTATATGAATTCTAAGACCTTGGAAATAAACCTACAGATCTCATTGTTAGCCTCTCCATTTAGTGGAGGTGCAGTAATAACCACATCTAGTTTTTGTAGTCAATGGTGTTATAGCATTTTATTTGGAGCCCAGTTTTGCATGGTTGCCTGTAGTGACACAGTCTTCAGGATTAAGGCCTTTAGGAAGGAAGAGGTCACACTGTTTCTTGCTCTGGTTTTGCCCTCCTTTTTTGCATCTCTCTGTCATTGTGAACCAAATAGCTTCCCAAATCCATGAGTGGTCCCTGGGCTTCTTCATCTCAGCCAGAGAACTGCAGCAACCTAGGAGGTGGTGCCAGGACCAATCTTTGTCATTTAACTGACAGTATTCTTGACCAGGAGTCTGCTTTCTTACACACCAATAATATCTTCCTGAAACTATAACCCCATAGTTACCTTGATTTGACTTGGTTCTTTCTTTCTTTCTTTTTGCTGAGGAAGATTTGCCCTGAGCTAACATCTGTGCCAATCTTCCTCTATTGTGTACATGGGGTGCTGCCACAGCATGGCCAACAACAAGTGGTGTAGGTTCATGCCTGGGAACTAAACCCAGGCCAGCGAAGCAGTGGGCACCAAACTTAACCACTAGGCCACAGAGCTGGCCCCTACTTGGTTATTTCCTGATTCACCCCAGTAGCACATTTATCAACTCTTAGGGTGGGTCAATTTTCCAGATGACTCATCCCATCTTTTATTGGGTCATTTTCCTATGTAGATGCAAAATATGTGAGTAGGAGGTGGGAAGTGGGAGGCTAGAACCTAAACTGAGTTTCTTTAACTTTATTCTCAAGGTGGGAGATCATCAGATTTGAGTGCATGAGAGCACCCCATAATTGTTTAAAAAAATACTTAAAATTATATAAGTAACATACTAATATTATCTTAGTTTAAACATAAAGGATAAAAAATTCCTCAAAGTCTCCCTTCACCATCCTCCCTCTCACTACCCCCCTTATTTCTCACCTCTCTAGGGGTAATCGTTATCGTTCTGAGGACAACTATCCAGTGCCCTTTGTATACATTCCTTTCCTCTACTGTACATACATATAAACTTTTTTTTTTTACATAAATGACACCTCCTCGTTTTATAGGTGAGGAAATTAAGTGAGACCTTGAGGGGAGACACGAGTTGACAAATTTATTGAAGGAAAGCGGACTGAACAATCGTTTGTTAAAACCTACTATGTGTCAGACTCTGCGCCCAGCGCTTTATTGGCAGGAAGGGATTTGGTCTTTACTTCTGTTGGATGGGTCGCTGCACTAGGTTAGCTAAGCAATTAGTTTAAAGGTTGGGGAGCAGGTGCGAAAGTCGCTTCAGTGCAATGATGTAGGATTAGTACTTTGATGGGAGCTGCACGAAATCCAGCAGAGGGCTGTGGAGCTGCAAAAAAAAAAAAAGAAAAAAACCCGTGTCATCTGCATTTGGGTCTGGCAATAAAGCTTGTGAAGCTAAGACGCGAAAAGCCTACTACCTGCCGAGCCCGAAGCTTCCTTCGGAAACCAGGAATCGACACCGTGTCTACAAGACTGGCCTTAGAGCTTGGAAAGGAGGGCACCAGAGGTTGCAAAGAAGGATGCGGCGGGCGCCAGCAACCGAACAGCCATCCCGGAGAGCAGAGAGAGCGCTCTTGGACCTGTCTAGAAGTGCGCCTGCGCCAACCGCGGCGGGGGGGCGGGGCGGGAGGGGCGGAGCTTGGGGGCGGTCAATGAGCCTGCGCAGACCGCGCGGCGAGGTGGGGGAGGGCGGTCCGTGTGTGTCTGTGTTGTTGTTCGGCGGCAGCGGCGGCGGCGGTAAGATGGCTGCCCACGGGGGCTCCGCGGCGTCGTCGGCGCTGAAGGGGTTAATTCAGCAGTTCACCGCCATCACCGGTAAGAGACGCGGTTACCGGAAGGTGGAGAGTGGGGTCTGGAGCGGGCGGCCAGTCCGCCCCGGGCTTCCCCTCACCTTCATGCATTCCTCCCTCGGGCTTTACCCACAGCTCCCGTCCTCCCTCCTGAGGAAGAGGCGACGACGGCGTCGGGTCTGCGGGTTCAGGCGGGAGACAGCCCCCCCAAGCACCCCATACCCTCGTTCTCGGTCTCCTCATAGTGTGGAGGGAGACCCCCCCGACCCCCTGTCAGCCCAGCCCCGGGGAATGGGCCGAGCCCATCCGCCCCCGCCGGCCCGGGGACCTGGGGGCGGGAGAGGTTGGGGGCCGCACCCGGGCCACCGCCCTCCTCCTCCTCCATCATCTTCTCCTCCTCTCTGTGCAGCCCTGGGGTGCAGTGCATCCCCTCGCCTCCTTTTTCCATTCTTCCTCGGCCAGGTCATTCTCCCCCCGTCCCTGGCCTGCCCTTCCCCTTTCTGGGCCCCTCGGAGCCATCGCTGTGGCCCTGGCGTGTTCGGGCCCTCCCGCCTTAACGGCGAGGCCGGTGGGTTCGACAGCGCCTTTACCGATCCCGGGGGATAGGCCGCCAGAAAGGGGGGGTGCTGAGGAGTACCTTCAAGACTGAGCTTTTAAGAGAAGAATAAGGGGGGACCCCCCGCCCCCCTTAATAGAGAAGGCCTGGAGGAATCCTGGGTGGCGTTTCCCACCTCCCCATAATAAAATCATAAAGACCGAGACGATGGCGCCGGGGCCTCCTGCTGATAAAATAGGGATGGCGGCAGAAACTTCTTTGAGAGAAAATCAGTTTCTGGGTGTCAGTATCCCCTAAACCCTCGGATTTTCTTTTCCTTTGGACCCCTGCGAAGGGCACACGCAGATCCTCTTACCGCCTGGAGGAAAGGCCCTAAGCCATTCTATGAATTCTCTCTGTCTTGTTTCTGATGGTGCTGAACTTTTTTTGCATGAGTTATTAGAGGGCGGAGCAAATGATGAAGTTCTCTGTGGAGTGATTTGAGAGAAGAGTACTCCATGTGCTTGAGTGTAATTTTGCCGTTCTAGTTTGTCATTTTGGAAGGAGGTCAGAATGTTAGTTCCCTCCCTTAGCAGATCTGTACTTTATCTGGCAATTTGTTAGATGCAGAGACATTTCCACTGATAAGGTACATAGAGTTTGACGTGCAAGATCTGGTTAAGTAAAATTTTATATTGTTTTTACCACTACTGGTTGTATGCACGTTGCCGTTTCGTAATTAAAGCTAGTTTTGTTTTTTGCTCTGCAATGATAACTAGACGTTTGATGCTGTATCTAGTTTGTGGGCATGAAACAAAATGTCAAAGTTGGTAAAGTACAATTTGTAATAAAATTGGGACAAGGAATGGAATGATAACTTTTCTTAATATTGTAAAACTTTTGTTTTTGGACTATTATATTAAAGGTGTAATGCATTTCCCAGTGTCTAAGCAGGTCATCATTAGTAGGAAAATTAGAAAATAACTGTGTATAAATTAATATTGCTACTTATTTTTACGTGGAAAAGTCTTTGTAGTGAGTCAGATGTAGAAGTGATTATCATTATTAATCTTTTCTTTAGATTTTCTAGAGGTGGTTTAAAATGCCACCTGTTTAATTTCGGTTTTTTCTGCTAACTACCACCCCTTCAGTAACCCAGATTGTTTTAACCTCACATTATTTTTTCCAATGCAACATTTTTGTTAGGTATAGTCAGAGTCCAAAGTGTGGTGAGATGAAGAGATTCACTTAATTGCTTTAATTCTGTCCTTTATCTATTAGTCTGCATGGCTTGTTTCCTAGTTACAGGGCTTTCTATTCCTGAATCAAGTTGCAGACCCTCAGTAGTCAGTGGTATCTAGAAGTCTGTAAAAGGGAAAAATACCTTAGATTTTTCTTAATGTATTATGAATTTCTATTAATAATTTTTTTTGATAGTTTAACTATTAGAAACACATGATTTGCCCCTTCAATCTTTTTCACATATCTTAAAAAAATTTGGGGGTCTGTCTACATATTTCTTAAATTGTAGTATTTATGATTAAAAAGGTACTATTTGATATTTATTCATTGCTGGATGAATTAAACTGACCTTAAGAGCTTGTGCTCTGATTTCAAAAAGGTTTTACTTATCTGGAAGCTCAGCATTCTGGTAAAAGCAATACTTTTTTTTTTTTGAATAATGAGGTTAGAGAGAAGACATACAGCTATTTTATTTTATTTTATTTATTTATTTAATTTTTTTTTGAGGAAGATTAGCCCTGAGCTAACATTTGCCGCCAGTCCTCCTCTTTTTGCTGAGGAAGACTGGCCCTGAGCTAACATCCGTGCCCATCTTCCTCTACTTTATATGTGGGACGCCTACCACAGCATTGCTTGCCCAGTGGTACCATGTCCGCACCTGGCATCCGAACTGGCAAACCCCGGGCTGCCGAACCCCAGGCTGCCAAAGCGGAACGTGCAAACTTAACTGCCACGCCACCAGCCCAGCCCTGCCCCAGCAATGCATTTTAAAAAATACAAGTCTTACGTTTCCTGTGGCATTTAGAAGTAGGACAGAAAATTGAAAGAATTTTAAGTCTTATTTCTCATTAAATAGAACAAATCTTGTTTTATATATATATTATGTCAGTATGAAGTAATGACTGAGTTTTTAAAAAATTGTTAAAAGGGTATCACAGGGGCCAGCCCTGTGGCCTAGTGGTTAAGTTTGGTGTGTTCCACTTTGATTGCCCAGGTTTGGTTTCTGGGGACCAACCTATAGCACTTGTTGGTAGCCATGCTGTGGTGGTGACCCACACATAAAATGAAGGAAGATTGGTACAGATGTTTGCACAGGGCAAATCTTCCTCAAGCAGAAGGAGGAAGATTGACAACAGATGTTAGCTCAGGACAAATCTTCCTTAGCAAAAGAACAAAACAAAGCAAAACGCCAATATCACAACTACATGAAATAATTTTGAGAAAAGGAGAAACTAATCCACTCTCACAACAGCAATATTATTCATTTCACATTTTCTTCCAATTCTTGTTTAAATATTTATTTTTAAATTTTATTCTTTTTTTTACATTGTGCGTCATGGTATATGGAGTTTAGAATTCTGAAATTTTCAATTAGCATTACATCATAAATATTTTTTCCATGATCAAACTCTTTGATAAGCAAGTAGCCAAGGGAAATGGTGGTCTTTGAGGTAATCATATTGGGAAGCTGTTTACATTTACCATTGATGCCATTAAAAATCATTTGAAGCTACATAGAAAACCAGTCCTGTTACTTTATAGTCTACCACATTTTACAATATTATTAAGTTTGATCTCCCTTGATATTCATCATACATGGCTTTGAATGACTGGCTGACTGCTTTCAGGAGTCATATCAGTTCTCAAAACATGAGGAAAGAATGTGCTGCTGGACCAGAAGGTAGTTCCAAAAGAACAATTTTTTAAAATGTTTTGAACCGTGGCAGTATCCTGTTAACATCAACTTGGGCTGACATCCAGCCACATATATACAAAATGCACAGACATAATCAGAATAATTCATGGGATGAGGGATACATAGACACTATAGAAAAGGTAAAAATAAACAGGCAATCAGAACATAAGGACAAAATGTGAGGGAATAGAAAATGGAAGCTGAGGAGAGTACAAGAGGTTGCTAGTACGTATAGAATTCCATAAGGTTTTGTGCATAGTAGGAATTCATGTACTTAATGAAATTATAGAACCTCAGTTGTAGAAGAGACCTTAGTTTAATCTCTCTCTAAAGTTGTTGAATGAATGCATATTTGTTATAGAAATTAGAAACGTGTGTGTAGTATTGGCTTTGTGGCCAATCTCCGGTTATATTCTTTTCTGCAGTTCATTTCTTTTGGGTTAGTATTAAAATATGTTTAAGTTCTCTGTGTCAGGAAAGGTAGTTGCAAGTGTTCCAGAAATCAAAAGAAAACTCTTATGGAATTTTAAGAACTATTTCAAAAGGTGATAATATTTGAGCAGATATTTAAGAAGTAATAAATTTTGAATTGTGAATGGAATCTTACTGATAATTCAGTATTTATTGATAGACTACTCTTTGCCAGGCATGGTTCAGATCCTGAGGATACTATGGTGAGCAAGACATGGTGTCTGTCCTCAGAAAGCTTAAAGGTTAAAGGTTAACAGGAAGACAGACACATGAATAGGTAGTAATACAGTGGGAGAGGGGTAAGGAGCTGTTTGGGGGGCACAAAAGAGGGAGGTCAAGAAAGGCTTCCCAGAAGAAATAATTTCTTGGCTAAAACCTAGGGAGATATTTCTGGCAGGAGGAACATATGCAAAGGCCTGGAGGAGAGAGGGACAGACATATATGTATACAGAGATAAGAAAAGAGAGGTAGCAGGTTTAGGGAATTGATGATTATTCCAAATGGATAGAGCATAGCTGGTGGGAGATGCAAAAAAATGCAGCTGAAGAGATAAGTGGGTGCCAGATTAGGAATGCCTTGTAACCCGTGTTAAGAAATCTTGGCTTTATTCTGAGTGTAGTGGGGAGTCAATGAGAAATTTTAATTAGAGGAGTGATATAATCACATTTTGGTTTTTTAGAAAGAGCTGCTTGGCTATAGTGGAGAAGAGGTGGGCACAGAGATCAATAGAAGACTGTTGAATTAGTCCAAGAAAGACACTCGTGTCCTAAAATAAGTTAGTGGGCAGAGAAGTGGACTCTGAAAGATGTGGGAAGAAGTCAGAGGAGTCAGGATGAAGCTTAGGATTCTGTTTTGGACATCTAGGTCTGTAATAGTGCTGTTTGTGAAGGCATGGATAATAGAAGAGGTTTGGGGAGATGATTAGTTCAGTTTTAGAAAAGTTGCTGCGTGTGGGACTTCCAAGTGGAACTGTTCAATAAGCAAATGAGTATTTAGGTGTAGAAAGAGGAGTGACATCTGAGGAGTCATATTGATGGCAGTTGAAGCTATAAAAGTGGGTGGCGTCTTGTAGGGGAGAGTG